GACAGAGCATCACTCAGGGAGAAATCACTTTAATGTTAATATCCCTGTTGCGTTCAGCCTCTACAAAAACTACTGACTTGTCTGTACCAACCCGGAGGCTTGGTGTGAGCCTCCCTCACACAAGGCAGCTGTGCACGCAGAGGAGGATGGTTCAATGCAGCATTGGAGCAGCCCTCCCCAGGAGGGGGCTGTGCTCAGCGGGGAGCAGGGCTCCCTGCCCTGTGCCTAGCAGGGATTCGGGAGTGCTGGGCTGTATCGATGGTCAGCATGTGCAAGGCGCTGCGAGTGTGCGTGTCACTTGGCACGGCACAAACCTGTGCTGGGGCCCTGAGCTGCATGTGGAATGCCCTTCATGGTGGAGACCACATCTGTGCAGCACCCAGCACCGAGGGGTTCCAGGCCTCGCTGAGATGGGGATGGTAAGTGATGCTTAGGGCAGTTCTGGGTTGGGCCGCCCATCCCTGCTCTGCCTGCAGGGACACCATGCCAGACACTTCTCCACCTTTCCTTTTTCCACCTCTTCCTTGAGACCAGATGCTACCAGGGAGCAGCTGGGTAAGGGCCCTTGGACTTCTCTAGCTGGTCCAGGCCGCCTGGGTGGTTCAGCTCTGCTGAGGGCACATCCTTTACTCGCCTGGGGATGGGGCTCTGCACAAGTCCTGCAGGGAAGGGCGGCACGAATGGGCGGGCGGGCAGCGAGCGAGTGCAGACCTGCTGCTGTTGAACACGAGCCTTGTGGCAGGAGACCCCCATGCTGCAGACCTGGAAGACACAATTTCAGCCTGGTGCAGGCAGATAGAGCTTGCCCTTCCTGACCTACTGCTGCTCAAGCCTGCAGCACCTTTCCTAGTCAGGCTCAGGGATATTGGTGCAGACTCACATTTCTAGCTGTGAAAACAAGAGTCGGGGTGTATTCATTCGTGCTCCAAGGACGGCTGGAGTCTGCTGCTACATCCCTTGACCCTGCTCCAGCCCCCAGTGACATGCATGCCCACATGGGCTCCAAACCACATCATTTGTCTTTGCTGCTTGAAACTTCATTTTACATTATTAAAATTGAGCAAGCTCCTGTTTGATGGGGAAGAAATATTGCACTGCTTCCTACCTCCAGTCTGCGTGGGCCTCCAGCACTGTGCCCTGTCCATGCTGCTGCTCAGGTGATTAATGGGGCAAGATTGGAGCTCTCCTCTGGCGTCTTCTCATCCTCTGGTGACAGCTGCTGCTTGCGCCCACCTACAGCAATAACGGTGCTTAGGGCTGTGGTGCTGGGAGCCAAGGGTGCTCAGGACATGGTACATAGGGTTGAGGCAGGACCAGACAGCTGGCTCTGTCTGAGTCAGCCCTTGGTGCAGCTTTGCCGGCTGCTGTGGTGCTGCTGGGGAACTGGGCTGCCCCCCTGCTCCACACCAGCCCCGCGCAGGCTATTCCCAGGACAGGGCCGAGGAGCAGGTCACCCGAACAGTGGCATTTCGGGGTAAAAGCTCTCCCCTGGGTGCTCACTCACTGAGGGATCTCAGAAGCCTCCTGCCCAGTGTCTCCTCAGAGCTGCTCGGCGATGAGCTGGTCGCAGCCTCTCTGCCTGGGGACTCTGCCTCCACAACGGTGCCGCAGCACTCACTGTCTGCAAAAGCCCAGCGTGGCTGCAGCACCCCAGTGCACCGCAGTTCTTGCCACCCCCAGGGTGGTGTGTGCATGTCCCCACCACCTCAACCCGGCCAGACTCACTCTGCCGCTTGCTGTTCTCCTCATTGTCAGCCAGCTCTTCCTGAATGAAGGGGATGCCCTCCATGCGCAAGAACACTGACTCACTGGGACTGTGCAGCCCCTCGGGGACACAGGGCAGGCATGGCAGCAGGGCAAAGAGATGCTGTGCCCTGGGGCAAGGACACAGGTCCCACTGCCAGGGACCACCAGAGGACAGGAGGGCATGGCGATGAGGAATTGCGTGCCTGCACACTTGCATCTGTGTGTACGTGCAGGGGTAGAACAGAGCCCACGGGTGTGTGCATGCAAACACCCACACGCCCCACTCCACATGCAACTGCATCTCAGCAGTGATGTGCCAGTGGGTCCCAGCACAGCCCCGCCAGGGGACATAGAAGATTAGCCTGCGTCAGGGAAAGGATGCTGCTGAGTGACTCACACATGATGCTGTTCCTCTCATTCAGTAGGATGGTGGGGTCCTCCTTGGGCGTCTGTGGGGTTCCCCGCATGGTTGAGGCCTTGGTTGAATCCCTGTCGAAGGCCTCCATGTCAGGGGACTGGGGCGAGCTGTCCATGCGGCTGGCCACCAGCGCGTTGTGGTACTGCTGCCGGGTGACCTGGGCACAGACACGCATGCCCAGCTCAGTGGGCACCAAGACCCATCAGGATCTCCTGAGGCGTTGGTGCCACCAAACCCCTGGACAGCAGGAGCATGGGACTCCCTGGCACCGATTGGGCACCCAGCAGGCTCCTGAGATGGAGCAGGGTGAGAGGGTGCCTGGGCAGGGGCTGGCTGGGATGGGACAGTCCCTGCCAGCCCACCCGTACCCTTACAAACCGCCCCCTTGACAAACTGCACGTCGCAGGGGATGTGCACGGAGTAGTCGGGCGTGTAGATGTTGTTGCAGCCACTGTGGAGCTGCGTGGTGCTGCCCCCATAGTCGCTGTGCTCCCGGTTGGGGGACTCAGAGCGGTTGAGCCCACTGCACCGTGACGGTGACCTGTTCACTGTGGGAGGGGACATCAGAGAGGCAAACACTCACACTTGCTTGTGGTGCCACTTGGGTCCCTGGTGCTGGTGCAGGGTCAGGGTGGACCAGTTGCCTCTGGTGGCTGTGTCTCACACACAGCAGGGCTGGTGGGGGCTCTGTGAGGGCCTTCAGTGAGACTCTTCCTTGGTGCATTCTGGTGGGCAGAGGCTCTGCCCCATGGCACCCCCATATAAACCAAAAGGACCAGGCAGCGATCTGACCTGGCACCAGCAGCAGAGGTTACGGTTGTTGCCTGCTTGTCACACCAACTGACTGACAGCTGTCCTGCTAACGCAGGCCTTCTGCACAGCATTTGGCAAAAATTCTCCCAGTTGCAGCTGGCAGCCCATAGAGTTGACTTAACCTGCCTTCAGGGCACGCTCCTGTCCACCCTGACTGTGACAGAACAGCAGCAGAGGCTGCCCCAGCAAGCTGGGCAGTCGCAGGCTGCCCAGTCACTCACATTGACTGATGGCCTCTGACAAGCGGCGTGATGGATTTTTCCTGGTCAGTGATTTATTAGGGAACAAAGGCAGCTTATTCTTTACATACGTGATGGCAACATCTTGCTGACTTTGCTCTGCTGCTAAAATGCCCTTCTCTTATCTGGATTGCCAGAAAGCAAACGAAGCAGAGCAGTGTGCATGCAGGATTGGGGTAACTGTGATCAGAAGTGGCAAGTAGCAAGAAAACCCCAGCACCAAGCACGGAAAATTACAGAACTGCACACTGAAGAACGTCTGAGACGTCTGTGGCTCCTCCTTGACCCCATCCTGTTCTTCTTGGGGTTTGCATCTTATTGGGGAGACTGTGTCAGGGACAGGACTGCTGTCCCCCATCTGCCACCCATGCTCCAAGCAGTGAGGGGCTGCTCAGCGTGCAGGGTGGAAGGAGCTCAGTGCACCATGCACAGGGAGCTGGAAAGAGCCTGGCACATATGGAGGTACCTGCCCAAAGCCAAAGCCTGTTACCTGGAGAGCCAGCCAGGGAGTCTCCTCTGCTGAAGGCGAAAGTACGGGACACTGAGACGGGCACTGCAGAGAGAGGCAAGGGGAAGGAAGGAGGGATTGGTGGAAGGTAAGGGATGGAGGTGAAAGTAGGGGACAGACCAAGTGGAAGAATGACAAAAGGAATCATGTGCCAGCAGCCATCGGCTAGGCTCCCACCACTGCCTCCAGCATCCCTTCCCACCCCTCTTAGATGCTGCAGTGCCATGGGTCTCAACAGACTTGGGGCGATGGCAAGAAGAGCCACCCACCCATGTGAGAACCGCATGAAGTCAGGAACCTGTGTCTGGAGCTGCCTGACCCATTGCCACAGAGACACTGAATCATGGACATTCATTTTGCACATTTTAATGCCACAGATTACAGCAGCAGTGACAATTTCAAAGGCAGGTGTTGCCCATCCCTTGAGTTGCTGCCTGCGGGAAGCTGCCCAGCTGCCCTCCACAGCATCCCTGGGCCATGCCACATGGATGCAGGGCTCCAGGTGAGGGATGCACTCATTAACACCCTCTGATGACTCATCTTTGCTCTCACTGCTGGCAGCATCCACCTCGAAAGCAGCAGATCTGAGTTTGCTGGCTGCCAGCCCCCTCCTCCAGACACAGCCACTATTCTCCAGCTGATGGCCCACTAGCCCAGGGCACACTGCCTGCCCTCCAGCCACAGTGTGGCCGCAACACTCTAGGAGCCATCCGCTGTCTATATGATTAATATTTTTAAACTGCTTATAAGGTAAACCGCTGAGGAAATTTGCCCTGCAGCCCCCTCCTTCCAATCTCCCCACTCCTCCTGCAGTAGCTCCTGTTCTGTGTCCTCCCCTGGATTGAGATCTTCCGCAAATGAAAGTCCAAGCAAAGGCACCAGCCTGAAGTGCTGCCCAGAACAACCTCATCCAGCTGGGAGCAAAGGACAGCTTGATGATCCCTAGCGCTTCCTCCCTGCTCTCACTGCCCGACCCGACGTGGGGCTGGCTGTGCCAGGTCTCTACTGCTGCACCCCTGCCCTGGTCACCAATGCCAAAGATCGTCTGGCAATAAAAAAGTTGCATAACAATAGTTAATTAATAATAAATTGTTAAATGCTCAAGGGTTAATGTCTGAACTCTCTCTGTGACATGCTACTCACAAAAAAAAAATTCAAGGGGGAAGAGTGATGCCAGGCAAGGGAGCTGCCCGTGACCTCTGCCTCTCACCCTGCCAGGGGTGTTGCACTGTGCATGTCCCGTGCCAGGCTGGGTGGCAGAAAGCATCTCGTGACACAGTGTCACGAGTAAGGGAGCCCTGAGCGGCAGCAGCACTGCAGACTCAGGTGGCCTCACTGGCATAGCTCCCACCGCGGCTCAATCCCTGCCTGTCCCACAGCCTGCAGGCAGTACGCTCTTTCTCCACTGAGTTTTTTAAAGGCAGCAACCTCGGCACAGAGCCTGAGCTGCTCTGTGTGGGGTGCAAACCCATCTCTCCTCCTGCTGGCTAGTGCTGTGGAAGAGAGGTTTTAGAGTCCCAGCCTGACCCAAAACACTTACATAGGAAGGAGGATCCAGCCAGGCTGCCCACTTTCCGCATGTCATTATCTGAAATGACAGTTGGAGATGTAGAAATTCCAGAGGAAGGGTTCCCACCTGCCACGTGCCCCACAGCAGGGCCACCCCATCCCACAGCCAGCCCTTTCTCCTGGACACCAGCTGGCTTAGCCCCATGGAAGCTGCAGAAATGAAGGCAGGGCCAGAGGGAGCTCACAGAGCCCTTACCTGAGGAGAACACAGCCATGATGGCAGGGACACCATAGTAGGTGAATGCTCCATTCTCAAACCGCAGCCCTTCCTTGCCAACTTCCACCTCCACTTTCCCCTGGAAGAAGGAAAATTCATTCAGAGAAACACCTCGCACTCTGGCCACTGACCCACCTAGGGCTGCAGGGACTCCTGCCACCCCATATGAGAAGATGGGCATTTCTGCTGGCTGAAGTAGCCCAGAGCAAGGTGACAAGGAGAGATGGGCCACCCCTGGCCACCCTTCAGTCACTGCTGCTGCAGGTACCTGCAGGATGAGGACGAAGTAGTCAACGGGGCGGTTGCGCTGGTAGAGGTAATGCTCTGCTGCCTTCTTGTTCTTTCGGTCATACTTGAGCTCCTGGATGACGTTGGGGTGTTTTAGGAGCCGCAGCAGGATCTTCTCGGAGAGGTAAGGGGACTTGAAAGGCTCCACTTCTAGAAGGGAGGCAACACACACTCGCTCAGTGGGGTCGGGGCTGCTGGGAACACCTCATCCTCCGAGCTATACAGCCTCAACACTCTGCTGTACAGAGGGGAGCCAAATGCAGACCCAGGATGCCCAGGTCAGGGGTCCAAGGAGGTGGAAACTGCTTGCTTAGTGGGGAGTCCAACCCAGGAGCAGTTCAGAGATGTCAGATAGGGCTGGCACTGCCTCAGGGAGATGCAAGGCTGGCACAAGAACAAGGATACCTGTTGCCATGAACCGATGTGTAGCCAGGAGGAGCTGCGGGGAGATCTTGACTTTCATCTCACTCTCTGAGAGCCTGAAGATGGAGAAGTCCTGGGGCTTGCGTCCCCGGTGGGGCACCCGCTCCTTCTTCCGATTGTCTGCTGTGGGGCAGAGAGCAGAGCAGTCGCCTGCCTGCAGCAGCCACAAAGCCACTGCAGCTGCAGGACCCCACACCACAAGCACATGTATATAGAGAGGCATGTCTTGCTGCGCCCCATGGCAGGGCTGCTGCAGAGCAGCAAGGTGCACAAAAAGTGCCCCGCATCACAGCCTTGACAGCAGCTCCCTGGGGAGGAAGCAGGGTGGCGAAACACGCGTCTTTCTCCGGAACAAGTCCTGGGTTGCCCTGGCTGGATGCATCACCCAGAGTTGGAAAGGATCTTGGGAACCACCCAGGGGCACTTCATGCCCAAGACACGTGAGGTCAGGTCAGGCCCTGCCCAACCACCACCTGCTGATGCTGGTGCTTATCTTGTCTCAAGCATTCAAGATGCCCTGGCATCTGACCAGCATCTCTCTGTCATTGTTTTTCCCACTATGACTTTGAATTGCTCTGGGGAAGGACCACGATTTGCTCTGGCCTGTTTCCTACCCACATGTCTGTCTGTCTGTGCGGGCTCCCACCCTGGCTCCTGCAACCTCTCTGGGACACTAACTGTACAGATCCGTCTCATCCAGGATCTCGGACTTGATGATCTCCTCAATGACATCCTCCAGGGTGACAATGCCCATCACCTCGTAGAATGGGTCTCCTTCCCCTTCGTTGTTCACCCGCTGCACGATGGCCAGATGGGACTTTCCTGTGGGGGGAGAGCAGAGCAGCATGAGGACCCCCCCATGGTGAAAGGGGTCCCCAGCATGGTGGCTTGGCAGGAGAACTGGGCTCAGTGTGAGGCGCAGATCGCAGCCAAACCTCTGAATTAGGCACTGTCATCCAAACCCAACCCAACTGCACTAACCCAAGCAGAAGGGCTGGACGCACAGCCCAGCCTAATGGGGCTGCTGCTCCTCAGGCTGATTTCTAGGTGCCACAGGACTCTGCCTGGCTCTTTTCTGATGCCGCTTGCTTTCTTTCCCCTGGCAAATCTGCTGCCAGTCAGTACATTTAGCTCTTTGACAGCCTCTTGTGCAGGAATTAAGTGTACATTATATCAGCTGCTTCTTGCTTTCCCTCAGCTTTGTTGGCATGAGATGACTCTAACAAGGCAATGAGACAGCGTCCTCCAACACAGAAATGTGAGCGTGTCCTTGGGCTCTACTGGTTTCCCTCATCCTCCTGGTGCTTCCTCATTCTCTCTCTAATTATCTTTCCTACCAAATTGCAGGAACAGCTCCCCCACATCTTTCTATCCATCGCTGTCTGGATCAATCCTAAAGCTTTTCTTAAAATACAGGCAACTCTCTGGAACAGCAGATGTTTTTAATGCAGAAGTGCGTATATTTGTTTGCAGCTTTCAGCCCAGGTCCTGCAGAACTCTTGAGTGAACCATCCGGATGCAGAGCCTGAATGCTTTTCAAGCCATCAGCTTGCACCTGAATGTCTTCTCCAAACCCTGCCCCTGTTACCTTAAACAAGCAGATTGGGACCAGATTCTCGGCTGCAATGATGGTGACTCCTGCTTGGAAGTCACAGTGTTTCTCAGTCACACTTTCGGCTTCCTCGCTTGCCCCAGTAACCTGGCAGCTCTGCTGAGACATTCTCAGGCTTCTTGCTTTTGGTATACTTGAAACATTCCTATTTGGGTTTGCCCATCCAGTTCTCTGTAAGCTGTTTTGACTACTTCAACTTCTCCCTTCCTTTATTGTCTGCTCTCATTTATGCTCTTGCTCAGCAGCTTGACCCAAACACAGCTTCCAAGCCACAAACAACTTCTGGGTTTCTATCTCCAATGTATTCTTGGACCTGTCAACAAACAGCACCATTTTTCTTACTTCTCCCTGTGGCTCCCACACTGCTCAGCAGCACATACAGGTTCTGAACCTCTAGTTTTATTTAAAACATTTAAAATGTCTTTCATCAGCCCCTCAGCCAACAACTTCCCCTCCCCCCGTTTGCTCTGCATCCCTGGGGTCTCTTGTTGCAATGCCTGCACAAACCCAACTGAACCCTGGGCACTGCAGGGACCTCCAGAAACCTATCTAACACCTCATTTGCACCCCTGGGTCCGGAGCTGAGGTCCTTGAACAGCAATGGTCACCCAAAAGAGGGGCAGGTCCCTTCTGATGTGCAGCTGCCTCTGCATCTCCTTTCACAACAAATTTGCCTCCTGTGCTGGGCAAGGGGATCGGAACAGTGTTTATGGATAAAGGTGCAATAGGGGTGGGCTCCTGCCTGCTGCACAGCTCTCTCCTCGCTCATAGGTGCCTTCTCTCTTGTCCCCATCGGAGCGACAGGGATGAGCACATCCAGGGCAGCCCAGCACCAAACGCATCTTTCTGGGGACCATGTGACCTTCAAATAACCTGCCCTGGATCTGACACGAGTAAATGATATTTCTCGGCTGAAGATCAGCACTATGCATTTCTCACAGTAAAGCTTGGGCATTTTCCACAGTATAAATTCCCTCCTCCTCATACCGAGCTTTTATTGCAAGATTTCAGAGAGCAGTTCACCACCTCCCACGCCTACAGAATTAGAAATGAGAACATAACACCGCAGCAAGTAGCACCAATATGCACTTTAAAAAACTAAACCAATAGCCTCGGGGCATTGAAAATTCAGCATCTTCTTTGGACCAGACTATTTCACTGCTTTTCATACACGGGTTTGTGCATCCTGTCTGTGCAGTGGGTAATAAAGCAACACAACTTGAGAGTTAAAAAGAAAAAAAGCAGCAGAGCTGGCCACAAGACAGCAGCAGCAGCTACATTTCAACTTAGCAAAGTCCAGCTTTCGAAAATGTCTCCTTTGCCAAACCCTGCTCTGAAATACTGGGGCCATCTGGTCTCCTACAAGACCGCAGGTGAGCGAGGAGAGGGGAGAAGTTATTTCTTTTGGCTGAAAGCTTGTTGTTAATGACATTTACATGCAACCCAAAACCACCAAGCCCTTACAGAAAGCTTAGGTGCTACTTAAAGGCAGTCAGAGAGTAATGGAGGCAATTCTTTTTTTGGCCAAACACCTACATCGACACTGTAATTTACTCTAGAGCAGCCTCAGAGAAATGTGATCCCAGCTCCATGTTCACATAGCAGCAAATGAGATTATTTAGAAATAACCCAGCACCGCTAGTCTGGAAGGAGACCCATGGTTTCATTGCGCTGGGGGCAGAGCCAGGAGGGCTGTTGGAGTGCTCAAGAGTTCTTTATTTTCACAGAAAATAAACACTTGAAGCCATGCTATAAACCCCCAGGTTTAGGTTTCCAGGCTAAATCCGCATTAGAGATAGAGCAGGTACCTAGCAATGGAAAATGTTTGCAATTCACGTGGTTGCTCCTGGCCCATGCCAGGTGAGCTGATCCTAGCTCCTGCCCTGCCAGCTGATCACAAAACACCCCAAAACCCACTCCTATCCCTCACAGAGCTGGGTGCAAATGAGCACCACTCCCAGCCAGCCCTTGCTAGGCAAGGCTGACTTACCCTTCTCCAGCCATTACCCTGAAGGCCTGCCTCACTGGGATTAAAATAGAGAGAGATAAATCACTTAAAACACCAAACTTGATCTAAACCAGCTTTAGGATCTGTAAAACTGATTCCAAGAGCTACGCTATTGTAACCATTGCTTGATAACTCAAAAGAAATGAATTATAAGGGTGAGCTGCTTCCCCACCAACAGGCTGTCACATGAATTTTACAAGGCTATCGCTGATGGAGGAAAGCACAGTGAAACACTTGAGAATCAAAGCTTTGGTTTGGCAAATGCTAGACTAAATGGGCAATTAACTTTATTTGTGCCAATAGTTTCACCAGTCTCCACAGGACTGTTCTCGCACAGGAAGTCTATAGGTGATTAAGTGTCTGCTCTGCATGGGATACAACTGTACTAAATTCTTTATGAGCTTCATGAAATCTGCTCTTTTCAAACAACAGCTTCAGTGGAAAGTTAATGCCTCAAAATGCTAAATTACAGAACTAATATAAACAGCTGAAGGCTTCCGTATGAACCAAGCACATGAGCAGACACCTGAAGAGTTTATGCTTGTTTTTAGGAGCCTTCATTTTCATAGGTACCTAAATGACCTTGGGCTCATAGGTCTACCTCAAAGTGACTCCCCAATGGGAGAACTGTGTCTGAACACATGAAAATGCCTTTATTTGTGGGAAAGAAAGAGCTGTTGGCTGCAAATATGGCCCAGAGAACTTTCTTTTTTTTTTTTTTTGTGTAGGTGCTCTGCCAGAGGAATGATAAAGATGCTTTAGCCTTGTCTCTCATTCCACAGCATGAACATTTTCTGAGCATGAAATTTATTTTCATGAATTTTATGGTAGGATCCAAAGCTGTTACTAGGAGATCAAAGGTACAGGCACAAGCCATGAACCACTTCCAGCTACAAAATGGAGGGGAAAAAAAAGTAATTGGTAAAAAAGGCTGATCTGTGAAACAACCATGATGTAACTGGAATATATTTTCTGTGAGGTTTTCATCAGAGGTCTGGGCCACGGGCTTGCCAGCACCTTCATCCTCCCTTGCAGACCTGCATCTGAAGTAAGTGGAGACCCTGATCTGAACTTCTTGAACTGGAAATGTGTGTGTGAGTGTGCTCTTTTGTTACCACAACTTGGCACCAAGGGTGAAACCACATGCCTAAGGAGTTGCACCTAGAGGCAACGCACATCTACACCTGAACAGGCGGGAAATAACCAGGAGGGCTGTGGGGGCACCCAGCGTTAAGGAGACCTTCCTTAAAGATTAGGACTTCATCTGCTTACTTCTGTCTCAAGCAGAACATATAAGCCTTTCTCATGCTCCGATTTGGTGCTTTTCCTAATCCTAAGGAAAAATGGGGAAAAGATCAAATATTTGGAATAGCTGATGTATTACTACTGGCAAAACAGATCAAGAGAATAAGGAGGAGATTAGAGGGGACATGGAGTTTTATCTTCCACTTCCCATACAACAGGGTTCTGACCACCTGGGTATTACCCTCCCTGCCCCCAAACGGCAGGTCCCTGTGCACATTACTTGGAGCCTAAGGAAACATACAAGGATCCCAAGTCTTTATGAAGCTAAAAAAATCCCAAACCTTTCAAAAGCCAATGCAACATTGTTTCTGTTGGCGTCTTTAGCATAGGCCACTTTATTCTTTCCCACAGCTCAGCCTGAAGGTGTCTTTGACAGCTCTCAAGAGGGACATTGCTGGCTGGGTGCCCTCTCCCCCAAGGATGTGGATCCCTTCTTGCTTTGCTGAACACCTCCCTGGAGCAGGCCTGCTCCTGGGCTTGCTAGGATGGTGTAAAGCAGCCCTGAGCTCACACAGTAAGATTTAGCACAGTTCTGGGGAGAAAGCAAGTAATGTTTTGGGTGGAGTTGCAGCATGAGTCACCGAAACTATCTTCTGTGCAGTGGCACCTTGCTCACTCTCAACCTGGCAATCGCCCTTCAGGGGATGTGGGTGGGATAGTTCCTGGGTAACAACCAGCTCCTCAACTCAGGTCACTGCTTCAGCCCATCAAGGTGCCCAAGATAGTGGTTATCACAATTGCAGAAATCTCTTAAAGGCTGACTGAAATGTCAAGCCATGCTTTGTGGTTGCAGTGACTGCAGGCTCAGAAGGACAGTAAGAAAAGAAGCTCAGATGGTAGTAACCCCAGTTTCTGGCATGTGTAAGCACCTTCTCCAGCTACATTTAATTTGTAGAAGTCTAACAGAAGCTGTGGAGCATTTTGAAAAGCAAAGACAGACCCTAGGGCACAGGACAGGCTGTTTTCCCTCCTAAGCCAGGAAGTTTGTTTTTGGAGAATTTACTTTTAGTAACTCTTAAAAGATGACAAACCACAGAAGGGTAATTTGAGTTGCACTTCAGCCTCCACCCTTCTGCAGGAAAATGAACATACGAGCAAATTTCTACCATCTCTCTGACAGAGGAAAATTACTTGCTGAAAAGTACCACTGCTATATATAGACTCCCCAAGGAAATTAATTGACAAATCCATAAATGCCTTGAGGAATGGGATAAGACTATGCCTTCCCAAAGGCACTACAGAACGAGGAGGTCGACCTCACAGAAAAACTCCCCAAGAGGAGTTATATCACAGGACTGAAGATGCAACACATATTGCTTTGGTTACCTTCTAGCGATGGAGGAGAAACAGACTGCATCGCCCACAGCATTTCACACTGAATGAATGCATAAACTTTTCTTCCTAGCTCCATATTCCCAAGGTGAAGTTTATCCTACTGGGAGCTCATCTGCCTCTCTACATTGCTTTAGCTTGCTAAATACAGTGCAGTTGTTTCTCTGGTGTATTACGTGTTTTCTCTGGGAGACTAGAATAAAGCCAGGTACTCCGAGATATATACCAACACAAATTGCCAGAGAATTGTCTCCAAGTTTTTTCAGTCCTTCAATAACTTCATCTTTTTGCAGGCTGCAGGTGGCAAAGTTACTGTACTGGTACAGATTTTTCTTTCTTCTAGAGAAGACGGAATACATTTTGTGTAGTGTCCTCCACGTAGCGCTTTATGTAAATGCTGTACAACTCTGCATGCCTTCTATAATGGACTTTTCTAGCTTGTCAAGAGGGTAAATTGAGTGTCCAGGCCTCATTATATCTGAGTCTATTCCACTGAGTATTGATGAGAAGATAAAGTCAAAACCATCTTCTAGCACAATTATTTCCTTCCTGCAGCTGGACCAGTCTCTCACTGCTGTGATGCTGCTGCTCAATACAGTTTTTGCAGCTACCCCTCTCTTTTGGTCTGTGAGTTCAAGTCTGTTTGCAGCCTTGTCCAGCTTTTTCCCAGTTTCCATTGGTGCCCCAAATGTAACCATCTTTCACTAGGAATTAGTGCCAAAATAAATATCAAATGATACCAGCAGCAGGGTTGTGAAGGGTTTGACCAGTTCTGCTGTGATGGAGCAGGGGCTGGGTTTTGTCAACCAGGAGCTCACAGCTGCTGTAACTACACTGCAACATCCTTAGTTGCTACTGAAAGTTATGCTGCTATTTTCACACAATTTAAATGTTTTGGAAAGCTGATGCTGCCGAAGGGTGTCTCCTCAGGTCCATAGAGGGTAACTCCATCTACACAGGGTCCTGCTGTGGGAGGGGGGATTTGCCACTCATGTATGGAATAAACTCCAGGCAAACATCAATGTGTCTTAGCAAGACTGAGCTCAAATGAGGATAATGTGAGCATATCTAGAAACCAGTGAAGGAAAACTTCCCTTCAATCCCTGCTATAAAAGGACAGAGAGGAAACAAAGCTCACCATCTTCACAGCTAGGATAGCACAATGAGAGAAAAGAAATGCATCAGTTAAGGATAACAGTGTGATATCTGTGAGTAGGAGGAGAGACAGAAAAGGGAAAGTGCTGCTGGAGGTGTGAGCAAGAGTCCCAAAGTGCTGTATGTAATCATCCCTTGACATTTTGAGTAAGAAAAAATGTTTGTGTACTGTGGCAAGGAGCTTTGGCAGTGAAATTGTGTTACTTATACATTATGCAAAAAAAAATTGCATTATGGGTGAGGTAGAACATTAATCATTAGTGAAATGGATCAGAAGTATATGTTGCTATCCAGGAAAGAAAGATAAAAAATGTGATGGTATTTTGTATAAACACTGTAATAACAAAAAAGAAATAAAGGATATAAAACCTGTTTGAGTTAATCATACGAGAAGGAAAAGAAAGCTGGAAGTTTTTTCTAGAGGTTTGCCAGGGATTTAAGGACTTGAAGGTGGTTATCAGTGCTCATTCTTACCAGAAACTTTAATTGCCTAGAAAGAGACTGGGCCTTATCAGTGGGAGTTTTTGCTGTCCTGCAGGCACCTTAGATGTGTGAAGTGATGATCCCTTCATTAAGCACTTGCTGAACCAACAAGTAATCAGCCTGCTCTCTAATTAGTGGAGGTGTCACAAAAGACCTGGCCATGAAAAGCAACCTTGATTGGATCAAAAGAGATACTTCATTGTAATTCAAATGGACACAGAAAATGAGACAGTGATGAAGATTCTTAATTGCAAATGGGAAATCTTTATTTTAGAAATTAAATAGTAAAGTGAAGGGGGCTGAAATGGCAGCTGGGGCAGTGTGGGAGCTGCCACGGCAACCTGTATTCGGGATGGGGAAATGAGAGCTTAGGAGGGGTTCATGGCTGGGCTGGGGGGTAGCTATCTACAAACATAGGGTGCTGGGGGTCACCAAGTGCCTACAAATAGAGGAATGATGACTCGGAAGAGAACAGCAGCACCTGGGGAGAAGAACATTTGAGGGAAGAGCTGGAATTGTTAAATGCAGTGCTGAGTTAGATATTAAGAAAAAAAGCAAGGCTTTTCAGCTATGTAATTTAGAAAATACAAGAAGAAATGAGGTAGGAACAGAAATAAGTTTTAGAGAGAGCACGGGGGCAGTAGCAAAACATGCCAGAAGGCCAAGATGACAGAGATGTAAGGGAGGGAGAGCCTGGAGTGAAATGCCAAGAGTTTAATGGAGCAAAGCTGAAGAAGAACAAATAATTTTCATTTGAGATGAGGATTACCCTGGGAAAAAGTGTAGGACAGGTAGGAAGGCTTATTAACACACCTGTCAGCTCAGTGAGCAACACACACACAGAGCATCTCTGTTTAAACAGGACAGATAGGACAGAGAGCAAAAAACAGTGAGCTAAGCATCCACAAGTCCATTTGTAGGTCTATTGATTCATAGGGTACCAGGCTGTAGAAAAAATTGGGGGGAAGTAGTTGAACTCAGCAAAATAAATCAAAGTGTAGGGGAGGCTTACAAGAGAGAGAGGGAGACTGTGCCTAAGTCATCTGACATCTTTGGTAACAGACAAGGGAGAGGTAGCAAAGACCTCAGGTGAACTTCGCTAAGGTTGTAGTATGCAGAAAGCCACAGTTAAGAAGGAACTGTGAAGCACATAAGGAGTTAGGAAGAGGAGAGACAACTGGTTATGTTAGAAGAGGCATGGGCTGGTGGGGGATAACTGCTGCAGCTTATCAAGGTTGAACCCATAGAGCAGTCTTTAGGCTTTTGCTAGCAGCCTTGGTATGAAAAACAGGGATTTAGCAATTTGCACTGCTGGGAGTCTCCAGTCATGCTGAGGGGCAGGGAGGTTAGGTGTTGTGTGCCACAGAGAGCATCTCTCCCTGTGATCCCAGGAGGTGGTGGGAGCATAGCTGTGCACCTCCAGGAAGATTCTGACCCACATGTATCAGAGGAGCACTTTCCTGGTGCACAAGAAATGTCCTAACCTCTCCTCCTCCCAGTTCTAAAAACGAGCAAGGAGATGACTCACAGAGAGGCTTTTTTCGTATCCAAGATGGACCAGGTTGGCCTTTCTCACATGATCAGCTCTGCAGCCCCAGGCAGCCGGGGAGCAGAGTGCTGTGCTCCCGCATTACATCATGCAGGATGTCACCGCTGCAGCCATTTCTTAAAGACTCACTCACCACAGTATGACGTACCGAGTAACATGCAGCAAAATGCAATTCCCAGTGGGGGGAAAAAACACATGCTGTGTGTATTCTCAAGGTATGGTTAGTGAAACACAGCTCTCAGCAGCTCTGGAGCTGCTCACAGATGCTGCATTGTGAATACTGTCAGCGCTGTAAAAAAGAGTACAGCTCTTCCTACAGGTTTGGGCTTTTCTCCTTCCTTTAAAGCACTTGCACAGAAAGACTTTCTAGACCTGCTCCTCGCTGCTAAGCTGAAAATGCAAGAACTAAGTAAGAAGATGTGATCTCCTGTCATGAGCTCCTCCAGACAGAACAGAGTGGCAGGCACCATGCTCTGCCAGGCCCTTGCAGAGATATCAGCCCTGTGGGACAGGCTCACCTGCTGAGCCAACAACCTCTGAGGCTGAAGGCTCTTACAGTCTCCATAACATCACAGGCACAACCAGCATTGCAGGCCCTCGATCCACCTGAGGACCGTTCCACCGGGTGACATCGGGGTCACTGCCACACCAGCGCATGCACATCCCAACTCCTCCCAGCATCCTGCCAGGAGGCCATGAGGGGTGGGCCGTGGGGGCTGCTGACCTGGGAATCATTGGGGATGCAGAGGGGTGCAGGGGGAGCCCGGGGGGTGGCGGCCCGGCGGCCTCACCCTTCTTGAACTCCTCAAG